AGAAAACGTTGACGGGTATGACTCATAAGCTGAAATTAAGGGTTAAGGGTTCATACTATCAATGTGAAATTGGTAGAAAGTTAAGGGTTAAGGGTTACGGTTCATACTATTCAGAGTAGCGCTTAACACCTTTCGAGATCAGACCAAAATCAGCACACACAACTGGTTTATACTTGGTTTCGGTTCCATATATGGGACCGGAATTTGTGAGTCTAAGTTCAATTTATTCTCCCTTTCGTCTCACATTTAATCTCTTATTTTCATTTTTTTTCCGGAAGAATCTCTTATTTTAATATTAAGTCACATTTTTATTAACTTCCACCATTAATTATTCAAAAAATCAAATGGGAGGTCTTTAGCAATCAACCTTGATTGTTAGGTGACAGCCGATTCCATTAGTGGTCTTTAGCATTCAAATTGGACGTCTTAAGCAATCATTAGTTTTTAGCAATCTGATATTAAGTTAGTAGTTTTGGTTAGTACCTATCATTAAAATTGAAGTAAACTTTTTAGTAGCTTACAACATCTCCAATGCAAAGCTTTAACATTGCAAAAATTATGACACGTGTCAATTAATGTATGGAATGTCTATCCACATGGGATGAATGTCAAAACCCAAATTATGAAATCTTCAAAAACCTCTCCAATGCATTTGTGTTGACGTCCGGACTTTTAATTAGAATTTAATTAACCATGCTTATCTTCTGTAATGGCGTAACTGATTTTACAAGAAACCATGCCTGATTCTCATTTAGTTAGAAAATTCATTAATCGAATAATTAATTTTCAGTATTTCTTTTTATTCGGAGGTCATCCTCAAGAAGTCTAACGTCAACTGTTTCATCTCAGCAAATGCTTTTAGGGAGGTTAAAAGAAGCTATTGAATCGAGCATGGTTATGGGAAAAGGGCTGAGTATGATAAATGGCTTTTCTTGCTTGAGGAGGATTTGTATCAAGATGTACAATATAGTTGAGGCGCTCGATTCTAGGAGATGAGCACTGTTTTTTCCCCCAAAGATCCTTCTTCATAACAACTGTTTAAAATGAGAAAGTGAGCTTCACAACGTCGGCATTTATTTTTGACACTTCAGCACCATATGACTGAGGAGAGAAAGCACTGGAGCAGAAAAATTAGAGCGACTTTCTTCCCGTGTGACGTGGCCATCTTTTTTAATGTTAACATCAATGCATTGGAGATGCTCTTAGTATTCACGATTGGCTGTTAAGTCATAAAATGATTTTTAAGGATACAGATAAGAATATATACGAGTATTTAACTTAACTTTTTATGGAGCTTATTTTTTTTTATAAGTACATTACCCATGATTCTATGTGATTACTACTATTATTATTTTTAATATATCTACATGCACATACGCAAACATATAAATTCATGGTGATATTTCAAAATAATCGCAATAACTTTCATGGTGATATTTCTTATCGTTGTTATTATAATGTCTTAATTATTTTCATTTTATTTCATTTTTTATATATTATAAAAAAATAATAATTAATGGATGAGTTCAAATTGGAGGGTACACCAGGATTTTAAAGTATATATGATTTTTTACACAAATATAATTAATAGTTACTACAATGTAGAATCACGATAACTTCAGTTTAAAAATTGAACATAAGCTATTATGATTTCATTACTACTTTAGTCACTAGTCACATTTTTGTAAACATATTGCAATCATATTTTGATATTTGTGTAATTATTTCTGTAAAGTATAGTAAAATGTCATTGTGAAAAACTAATTTGAGTGACTTTTGTTTTTTACATTATTTTTTTCTTGACAAACATTTAAATCAAGTGTTTTTCTTTTTTTAAAAACCAAATAACATGTCATTAACAATCAAACCGCAACAAGTTAACAGTACAATTCGGTGGGGTTCCTACCCATAAGCAATCAGATTCCAAAACGGCCTGCCGTACTAAAGCATGGGCAACCCGATTCGCTGATCGCTGCACATAGTGGACATTTAAAGTAGCAAAACTAGCTACCATATGTCTAATTTCAGCAAAAATATTATCATCATAAGAGATTCCATCGGTAGCTGCGATCCTTTGTACTACCTAGAGTGCATCCGACTCAAATCAAGTGTTATTAAACGTAAACAAACAAATTGAAATCACGTGAGTAAAGATCGAAAACATCACTACTCTACGAAGTTTGATTTTTTAACCAATTACCAATTATTGGTGGTTAAGCCTTTGCAGTATAAAAATTATTTGAAGATTGAAATTATCATGTAAGCAGTATATGTTCCTAATTACCTTAGCAATGTGATAGGGAGTCCTTTTTTCTATTGATGCAATTCCAAACTGGACAAGATTATGCTGGATTAGCTAAAATACAGAGAAACTTGTCAAATACGGAGAACTTTAACATACCCGGACGGAGCTATGGATTCAAGCAAGGGGGCCATGGCCCCTCCCAACTTTTAATTTTTTTTACCTATTAGCATTATGTAATTTTTTTTGCCCCCCTCCCTCAAATCTTATACGTAGTACTTATTTGTTAGGATATAGGACTATTATATTAGTTCTTCTAGTAGTTAGTACGGTATCTTGTTGTTACTTGGGCCCCAAAGCCCCACTTTAATATGGAAGCAAATAATTCAATGCCCAAAAATCAAGTATATTAATTAAAAAAATCCTTGGTGGACAATGGATGCATCCACAAGACCTACTCCCTCCGTCCCAATATAAAAGGCACACTTTCCTTTCGGTCCGTCCCAATATAAAAGGCACATTTCCCTTTTTGGCAAACAAAACAGTGCAAAATAGTGCCAAACAGTGTCCAAACAGTGCCAAACAGTGTCTAAACAGTGCAAACAGTGTTCAAACAGTGTTCACCCTTAAAATGTCTAGAAACGCAAATGTGCCTTTTATATTGGGACGGAGGGAGTATTAGAATAGAGGTAAAGTATTACGAGTACATTTTTTGCCTTTTACCTATTATTTAATATTGAAAATAGTTTCCTAAGTTTATTACTAATTCATTATTGACTAGCAAGTCTAGTATACTTAGTTAAGTTGTTTACCTTTTTTATTTTTAGATATTCGCTAGTATTTATTGTCTTACACACAAAAAAAACGCCAAAAAATTTGGCGTGGATTCTTTTATCGATGATTTTCGTGACATGCAAGATAGATATAGTCATGTAATGTTCTAAATTTTATCCTACACAGTGTTTAATAATGTACTTTTTGAATATTTTAGATGAATACAAATACATCATTTAATGTATATTTTATTTATATTTTAAATCTTATTCTTTTTTATTTCACCTCGCCCCCCTCCGGTCATATCCTGGCTCCGCCCCTGACCTGTGTAAAATAGGAAATTAGGAATATAACTTTTTTGCGTCACCTGGTAAGAGTAAGAAATGGAAATAAATTGCAAAAATGAACCTATTTTATAAAAGTTACGTAACCCACGAGAATATCATCCTAAAACAAGAATGTCGCCATCACATATTACAAAAGAAAAATGTTTGGTATACACTTTTTGGTGTACGCTTTTTGAATACAAGTCTGTCTCATGCACATAGAGTGGTATTTCCACAAACAACTCTGTAGAATTGTCTATGAACGGGAAACTCTGTATGCGTTAGACAGACGAATGTACAAAAAGTGTACATGAAAATGTGTACACCTAGCAAAACTCATTAGAGAATGAAGACGAGTTGATATGATTTTTCCTTTTGGTTCATGTTCAATGCTAGGCGTTGGTATTCAAGTCCAATGAGATTATAAAATATCGGTAATAGTTATGTAATTAATAACTTTATCATGATCATTTAATTTTATACCTTTTGATGCCCCAACAACTTCCACATTCTCCGTAGAAATGTAGAGCATACGTTTTTGTTTGAAAATTTGTTTTTCGTCTGTGAACGAGGTTGAAAGACAAAAAAAAACTTTCTCGCAAACGTAAGTTAAAAGTGTGTAAAAGTAGCAAACTTGATTTTTTAAAACTAATTAGGTTCAAATACAAAAAAAAAAAAACTTTCTCGCAGACGTAAGTATAAAAGTGTGTAAAAGTAGCAAATTTGATTTTTTAAAACCAATTTTGGTCCTTCTAGCCACTTAACCAGCATCCAGTTTTGACAATATTTTTGATAGATAATTGACAGTAAATAGCTAAACCTGTTCAGAAATGTAGTTTTTAGGGCATTCTTCTAAACATATTATAGTATCTGTTTTATTTAATGCTAACATCCTTGATAGGAATCTGACTTGAACCTACGACTTTTTCTTTGCAAGATCAGCAGTGATGTCATTAAACCATTAATAAAATCGGTTGTCACCTAACAATCATGGTTGATTGCTAGACCTCCAATTTGATTTTTTGAGTAATTAAGAGTGGAACTCTGGAAGTTAATAAAATGAGACTTAATAAAAGAAGCCAAAAGTGTTCGGAAGTTATTAATTAAACATTTGGGAAATTACTATTAGCCCCTGAGGTTATGTCATAAATATTATTGCAACCTTGAATTTTCAAAATTAAATTGGTTACCCCTAAGTTTTGGTCATTATCACTATATGCCCTCTCATGTTGATATTTGTTAAATTAAATTAAATTAAATATAACTCTTAAATTCAATGAAAGTTGTCTATAAATTAATTTATAAAGTACAACATATAATTTATTATCATAATTATAAGTCATTGTTGTTGATCATTATTTTTGTACTTAGTTACTCGATCGTGGAATAACTATTAATGTGAGTAATAACTATTGATTCACGAGTAACATTCAAGGGATATATCAAAGAACGTTATTTAAAAAATGTGTTGTCAAAATTACCATGAATTCCACCCTCCAAAGAAAAAGAAAAAATTCCATCATTTAATGGATCGTGGCTGAGCTAAGACATTGCCGACTAACCATGAATCCAGGGCAGATTGGGCCTTAGGCCATTTAGGACCGAGGCCCACATACAAAATTCTAGAAGTATATGGATAATAAAGCCAAGCCCACACCCAAAAAGTGAAAAATTGGCGCTCAATGTGAGAACTGAGAAGCAGATAAGGCCTGAAGCGGTAACAGAAACACGACCGTCTACCTCAGTTCGTCCATCCTCACCGTGAATCGTACTGTCGAAGCAGATCAGCAGGGAAGAAGACAAGTTGAGCCCTACTTCCACTCACACTTGTCTGCGTTCTTCACTTCGCCGTAAAGTTCGTAATCGGCCGAATCGACCCTGCAGCTTCTTATTTCGCAGACCGCAGTTTCCCTGCTGCCCCCGTTCGCCTGTGCTTCAATTTTTAGGTATGCATTTTACTTTCATTTTTATTGTTGTATTGTTTTATTTAGTTCAGCTTTATGCCCTTATTATTTCTGGAATTTAATGGTTGTGGTTATTGTGAATTCATTAAGATTTCTCCCTAGATTTCTGGAATTCACTTGTGAAATTTTAGGTGGCTGTGAATTCTGAGTTCGGATTTAGTTCGGTACAATTCAGGTTGTTGTTTCTCTGAATTCTGAGTTCTGGAATATCCCCAGATTTCTCCATAGATTGTTGTTGTGAATTAAATGAGTAAAACCTTCAATTTGATACTCCATAGTTTAGTGTGAGGGTTTATAAGGCTGAAAACCCCACCATTTTACTGTCCAAATACCGGGTATTATTTTAGATTGTTGCGTATGTGTTGTTTTTTACATATACGGAGTAGTTGTTTCTCTTGCTTTGTACAAGTAATGTGAATATTTTATTCTCTTTTTCACATATTCTCATAATATTCTCTATGGCCTGCTGCAATTGATGCTATTTTTACATTATATTTTGCCCCCATTGGATGGTAATGCTAGATCCGCATGGTTGAACCATGAATACTGAATGGAATCCAAATTCCCTGAGAAGAGATCCGAATTCTAAAACCACGGTGGCTAACAGAGTGCCATTTACAGACATCTCAAACTTTAATATCACTCCAATCGAGACTCTTCGCAAACTCTGCTCCTCCTCCACTACTAATGCCTCCAGTGCCCCCTCGTTTGGGACCTACTCCTCCAGCACTGAATCAACCATTCTGAAATCCCCAATTTCAGTCTTGCTGTCGGACACCAGTGTCGGATCCTCCTCTCCTGTCCTAATACAGAACGCCAGAAAGCTCGGGTTATCTGCTCCTCTTCGCATCCCTGTCTCGTCTCGTTCATCACATAGCACTTCAGGTAACCCCTCTCTTTGCACTTTTTTATTTTATTATTTTCTTTTTGTAAAATAAGACTAGTTTTGTCAATTCAAATGTTATGGTGGGACACTTTGAATGAACAAATGTTTAGGTGTCCTTAAGGTAATTAATTGTCACAGAGCAACCTGTTATGTTAAATTTGAAACTGGGTTATAGCTGCCATATCTCTATTTTTTATTTGAGATATGCAAACGAATATAAGTGTCTCTGGTTATGCTCAGAGACAATAAGCTTTGTCCGGGATTATAGGTTTGATTGACAATATACTTTTTAGATTGTATGTGCACGAATCAAACCTCCATTTCATCTCGTGACTTTGGTCTTCCCCTTCATCCTTCACTGCTCAGAATAGGTGGTTCTGAAATCGTAATATAAATTTGATGCCGGCATCATTCCAATTTGCCCCCTTTGTTTTTTCTGTTATGTTGTAATTATTGAGCACATACATTCAAGATATATGTCCAATGTCTCATGCCATATTTAAGCAATGTGTACCTTCTCTCCAAAGGTTCTGCAGATGGTGAACCAGAAGTTTATGGTCAAAGTGAGACTCTCTCAAAACCTACAGGAGAAAGTGATGCTACAGTTTTTCACTGCTCTACAATTCGTAAAAATAAAAGGGGCAAAGTAGATGTAGTTTCTGATGGTAGCAAGAAGGATTGTATGGATCATGCTAGCCAACTTTCAGTTGAGAAAAAAAAGAATAAAGGAAAGCAAAGTATTAGTTCGCCCAGTTCCCCACCTCCCAAGGGTAAGAAGGACAGACGAATTCCATGTGAAAAAGATGCCAGTATTTGTGATAAAATAATGGCCAACGAACTGTCTGATGCACCCATCAAATGCTCAACATTAAGGAAGACCAGGGGAAGAAGAAAGTTGGACAATTCTGTTTTTAGTTGCCCTCCTTTGCCACGCACAAGGAATAATAGGTATGTTCTGCTCTTTCTCTCTGGTCTGCCAAAATCAAATGCGCCTTGTTTGTGTTTGCACATTTTCATTGCAAATTAGTTTTCATTTTTTACGTCGTTATTTGTTCAAAACTTTATGATTCAAATTTTCCAGTTTCAACTTCTTGATTTTTGTTTTTGGATAAAAGAGCTTGTATCTCGAATTACGTATATTCTTAGTGACAAATCATCTCCCAACCAAATTCACATAAAGAATGAAGATGTAGGCAGTTGTGCTTCTTTGAGATAACTTGTTTCTTGGCCTATGGACCTAGTTGCCTAATGTGAGGAATCTTATTCTGTAATCAAAACATGCAATTAATTTTGGTTTTCTAGACTAATTTCCCCTTGCCAAATTTGCTGAGTTATTATTAGTCTTCTCGAGCTAACTTAGAAAGGAGTCAAAGGATATGTTTTCCTTAGATAAATGAGCAAAATACTTTCATGATTCAATTACTGATGCTTCTTTAAAAATATCTTTGATAGGAGCAAGGCTATTGAAGCTGGTGAAGCTGAGTCATTAGGATCATTGACTGATCCCAACAAAAAGCTTCCCAAGGTATGTAAATATTCCTCTTTTTAGAAATTGGTGGTATAAATTGCTTTGGGTAATTGTTGTATTTTTAGTTCTTACAATTCGGTCCTTGTTTAGTCCTTTTTGCCCAAAACAACCATTAATGGATGTATGGTAGCCATTTTTCTTACCATCGGGACTTTTGCTAACCAAAAACTAATTTAGTGATTGTGTTTGTTGAATTTGTTCATTATGAGAAAAATAGGATTGGGAGTACTTTTCTAACTTGTTGAGGACGATCATTATAGTCCTTTGTATTCCGTATATTTCTTTTATTTAGTTAGCAATAATATGTTTAAAGCTTCAGTTAATTTAGAAATTTCCTCAACTTCAATGATACTTCGATCCAATTTATAGTGTTTCAATATCCAAATGGCTACACACTTGACTCAACTTATTTCTTGCAGAAGAGGTCTTCTGGGAAGCAGCAGCCTTTTAATAACTGGTCTTTCGATAAAGATTTTGTAGAAAAACAAAAAGCATATTTTAAAGAAATTGATGACTTCGAACTGGAAGTGGAGGAAGACACAGAGTGATTATTAGAAGAGCAGACGAGGAGTGTGGGGTAGTGCACGTTGGTTGGTTTTTTGTAATCTAAATCTAATGCGCTTGACAATTGACATATGTACAGCTCGAAGAAGATATGATGTGTATATTTCTTCAACTCTGCTATAGGTACCCCAATTGGTACCCCAATTTGTACCTCAACCATTTTTTGTGGCTCACAAAAGTCCACCTCAATAAATGAATTGCACCATTTTAATGAGGTGCTTTTGTGAGCCACAAAAATAGGGTGGGGTACAAATTGGGGTACCAATTGGGGTACCTTTAGCATTTTTCCTGTTGATTACTCAAAAAAATTGTAACACCTGAAACTCTTGCTTAGCCGGTATGATATTGAGTTACCTTAATACAAATGTACTTCCAATTATATTAGAATGATAGAAACAGGTATAGCAACTAATTTCAACTTAAAGTAAAATTCAAAGAGCAAAATTTATAAAAGAGAGAAATTCAATACCCTAAAATTAAATTTAGTTTTTTTTTTTTAATATAAAAGGGTGGCTTTTATAATAATGTCAAGAAAGCATACAAGACAATTGTCGGACAGGTATTACAGATCTGATCCTAAACACTAGGAATAGATATAGAGTCAGTCACCTCATACAAAACAATTTGACTCTCTAGACACGAAACAGACAATTTTAAGCGTACAACCAGAATCGAAACACTACCTATCATCAAAAGTATTCCAAATGTCCAGATATCTAAACCAAACCTACTCGAAGAAAAATAAAAAAACAAGCATTATTAAAAAAATAACACTGAAATAAATCCTTTCCACAAAACTTCTCCCGACATGGAGGTGGTTTTGGAGGAGGACGAGTTGCCGGAATATGGGTGAATACAAAATTCTTTTTCTTACTTCGTTCCGGATAGATGTAGAGACAGGTCAAATAAAAAATAATATTTATACCTCGGGAGATTTACCCGTTTATTACTAAAAGTAGGAAGAATTCTTAAGATATGACCTGACTTCTTTTTAATCCTTCGTACGACCAAAAAGCGGAAAGAAGAAAACGGCTAGGGATATGCCGTATAAGTAAAGTACGAAAATACCCCAAACAAACAAACACGCGCACTGAAAATATACTGCACTTTATACTGCAGTTACTGCTCTACATTACTACATGACATTACTTCACTTTCGGTAACATATCACTGCACTTCCGCCAACATTAGTTCTCTTCTCGTTCACTTTAAGAATTTATTTATACTTCTTTTTATTTTTTAATTTTTAGATTTAATAATTTCAGTATTTTACGTCTAATTTATTATATTGCATTTCATGCGGGTGATACTGCTCTACATTACTGCACTACTTGTCATAATCAATGCACTTTCCGTCAATGCTATGACACGATCTATTCCATCTGATTCAGTTAGACCTGCACAAAAACGGGTTCGGGCCGGGCTCGGGCCGGGCTTTTTATAAATTTTTTGCCCATCATGTGTGGGCGGGCCCGGCCCGGCCCGCAAAAACGGGCCTAACTCCATGTCCATACCCGCCCGTAAGAGCGGGCCGGGTAGTCCACCGGGCCTCCCGGCCCGGAAAAACTTTAAATTTTTCTATATTATATTATTTTTTAAATACTTTAAAAATAATATGACAGCATTTAAAAAATTGTTAATACGCTTATAATATTTATAGGCCTTTCACCACGTACAAAAATAATACTTACATAAAAATAATAATTAGAAACTATATCTAAAATTTAAATTTCAAGCAAAAAGTATTATCTTTAAGTACAAAAATAGATACTATATTAGTTGGGCTAGTTGTTAAGAACTAAAAACTTAAATTTACATCTAATAAACTATAAATATGTATAAAGGTAAATTATATTAGTAAATATAAATATACATGCGTACATGTAAATAAATAAATAAATTAGTATATATATATATATATATATATATATATATATATATATATATATATATATATATATATATATATGCACACTAAATGTAGCGGGCCGGGCTTATCGGCCCGAACGGGCCTACACCCTAACCCAAGCCCGCCCATATGTTATTGCGGGCCGGGATCGGGCCGGCCCGGTGGGTAAATATATATGCCCAAGCCCGCCCATTTGTGCGGGCCGGTTGGGCGGGCCGGGCGGGCCGGCCCGGTTTTGTACAGGTCTAGATTCAGTGCAACACACACTTCGTCAATACATTCCTTCGTTGTCATGTACAACATTACATATTGCCATATTCACTTCCCATACTCAACCATATTATTGCTATGTTTATTGATCATGCTCACGGCCTATGTTTATTGCCCATGTTTAATGCCCAAAAATCCTGATTTCAATAAACCTTAATTTCAAAAATAGAAAAGAAGAAGAAGATGAATGGGGATGGAGAGACGGCTCGGCGGCGGCAAGATTGGCCAACAGAGGTGTGCGGTTAGGCGGTGGATGCAGGTTGGTGTAGGGATGGAGGAACGCGGCAAGGCAACATCACACAAGAATCGGGATGGCGGCAGCGGGTATGGACTGGGACGACGGCCTCCATGTCTAGGGATGGCTGTTGCAACAGCATCAACTACCTGCAACGGCAACGGCGGCTGCTTCTATGAACTAGGAAGATGGATGAGATGAGGCGGATAAGCCGATGATAGAATGAGGGAGATTATTAGGATTTAATAATGATAAGTTAGGGGCATTTTAGTCTATATAAAGTATTTACTCGCACACATAGGTCATATTTGGGGAAAGAAACTCATATGGTCATATATGAAGAAACTGGAGTAGTTTTACTCACACGGATGATAATTTTCTCTTATACCTCTACCATTCTCTACACAATCCAAAAGAAGACAGACAGAAATCACTGATCATGTGAAATTGGCCAGAGCACCAACACAAGTCCCACACCGAGGGATCGGAGACAAAACACACTGGAGCGCCAAAGCCTGGGAAAGAACCAAAATAGAACAGAACAAACACAACAACCAAAGAATAACAATCAAATTGGATCATACCCCCTACCCAAGAATATCTTAGAGCGGATGTCACATTACCTGCTAGGGTTTATTGTGGCGGCCAACTCTCAAAACAGCTACTTTGGGGTAGTTCACCAGTATACTACTCCGTAATATACTATGAATGACGAAGGTGGTAGAATCACAGCAAATTAAATCTAGTTATTTACTATCGTATTTATTTTTGTGACATTTCATTTCCGTGTAAAATATTTCTATATTCAAATAGCTAGGACAAATTAAAAGAATAAATCATTGTTTCAGTTAATAAGTCTAATTAACAAAGAGCATTATTATAAGTGGGATGACGTAAAAATGATGAGAAGCTTCTGTTATAAGCTTAGCTTCTTCTTTTCCTTTTTATTCTTGTTAGAGACTTTTGAGAATTGAGAATGGTCCGTCTTCAGTCTTCTAATTTCTCTATTGGGTACTTCTTATAGTGGTTAAGTCTTCCCATTGTACTCCAAACTATACCCGTCGATGGAAGTATTCACCAATCTGGAACTTATAATAATGTTCTTTGTTAATTCACTAATCATCGATCATATTAAATTATTAACATTGTTTTTACGTCATTTAGTCCATATCCACATTTCATTTGACGTCTCTATTTTAAATTCAGTACTATAATATGACTTTCTAAAATGAATGTGTTACGGTTTTTTACGTCATTCAGTACTATTTTAAAGTTACGGTTTCATGTGTTAAGAAATATAACTTCTGCATTCTAAACAAGTTTTATTTTGGTTCTTGAAAAAAAAAGTTTTATTTTGGAAGCTTAATAATGCATTAAATGGAAATGAATTTTTAACACTTTTATATTTTAATATACTATACTTTTATGAAGTATACGTGCATAATATAAATAACGTTTTTATGTTCCTAAACAATGAATACAAAAGATAACATTTCGTTAGTTGCAAATAAAAGTTCATATTATTAATGAGGGTGTAGTAATATTTGCACGTATGCATGGAATAACTACATATATGTATATATGTTTTGTGAATATTCCGAAAAGTTTTTACAAGTTTTAATAATTTAAGCATAAAGGGCCTTATTCTAGGACTTGGGATCTAGTTTTGGATACCCACGCTTATATGTTTTGCAGGCAGATTATTCAAGTTCTACTCAGATAGTTTTGTTTGCTCACGAATTGAGAACGAGTTAGTTTTACTGACTACGACTCCCACGTTAAGTTTGAATTATTTCAGTTTCGGTCAGACGATTCGTTCTCCCATATTATGCTAGCATACGACCCCAACCAGAGTCTCAAGAAATCTCTATTATCTAATGACCTCTGTTATATGGTAGGCGATGTAACTATACTCCTGTCAAAATTACTTTATCTGTATCCTTAGCTAGAGTTCAGTCCTAAGAGTAAAGGCTGAAATCAAAAGACTAAAGAAAGAAGCATTTAAAGAGGCACATGAATTTGAACAAGAATTATGGGGGTGTTTGGATCTGATTCTTAAAACTGCTTCTGCTCCTTCAGAGAACAGAAGCAAAGGTTTGAGCATTTGAGTGAAAGTGCAGAAGCACTTCTGGTGCTCTAATTTACTCCTAGAAGCAGCTTTTTTAGAATCTGGGGGAGACCGACTTCTGAAAACTGATTCTGTTTTTATTTTTGCTTTAATAAAGAAGTAGAAGCAGAATCAATTCCAAACACCCCTATGTGTGATTATTCCCTTATTGGATATAAATTTCAGCTTAATGATTATGTCTATGCGATATTATATATATTAACGGGTCGGTTTTGAAGTTATGGACATTTTATGCATGACCCGAATTACAAAGAAATTAAGTTTGGGTAATGATTACTCCGTATATGATATGTTTACATGTACTCCGTATTTTTTTATATGAAGCCTTGACAACCTTCTCATGATGGATTTACCTATTTCTCAAGTGATAAATTTATAAGTATATTATGTGAAATACTAGTATTAGTTTACTTTTGACCTCTATGATGGTAATGTGCCATGTGCTACTTACATGTTCAAATGTTTGAATGGACTGAAATGGTACGTGTCAATACTTGTGTTTCAATTATTTGAGTAGCAAATATAAAAATATACTTCGTACTTGTTATTACATACTCGGTAATAAATTGCAGTACCACTCTGCAATTCTATTGTTGAGCGTGTAGTTTTTCTACACGTAGGTGAATAAAGATTCAAGTGGAGCCACGAGACAAAGAGACATCTGGACAGGACTGCATTCCATGTGTTTTAGTTCCATGAAAATAAAGTATTTGGGAGTTTTTTTGGTAAAAGTACGGAAAAGATACTTGTGATTGGCCTGTTTTCAGATAGACTCATGTGTTTCATTCTTTATCAAAATGGTTCATGTGTTTGAATTCCGTTATCACCAGAGGGTCACGCCGTTCAAAACGTCCGAAAAAGACCGTTAAAAGTAACTCCGGTTTTCAAAAGTGCCCAAACTTAAAAGAAAAATACTGAAAGGTGCGCCTCGTCAAGATGACCTCCAAACCACCTTCGGCTTTGGATTTTACAGATCTGTTTAAATTATTTTTAAAAATGATTTCTCTAATATCACTTTTCCGATGGACTTTCCGGTGACAAAGGTGGCTGAAAAAAAAAAAGATGGCCTAGCAGTCGTCTTATTGAGATGCACTTTCCGGTATTTTTCTTTTAATTTTTCTAGGACTTTTGAAAATCAGAGTTACTTTTAACGGTCTATTTCAGACGTTTTTAACGGCGTGACCCTCTTGTGATAACAGAATTCAAACACATGAATCACTTTGATAAAGAATGAAATACATGATCCTATCTGAAAACGGGTCCAATCACAAGTACCTTTTTCTTACTTTTCCCTTTTATTATGATTGAGTTCTATTGAAATTGTTTGGATTATGGATTACGGGTAAAAAGTTAAAAACAATGTCTTGACGTCTTGCAATCTTGCATTATGGATTTATGGTCTTCTGAGTCGGGGTGGATCTGCTCTTGTTCTTGGTAGATTCTTGTCCCGGATTCTTAGGGAGTGTTTGCAACTGTTTTTGCTTTAAAAAAAGCACTTTTGGATATGTAAGGAAAAAGTGATTAGTAGTAAAAGTTGATACTGTTTGAGAAAAACGTGATTTTGAAAAGTAAAAGTTGGTAGTGTTTGGTAAAATAAGTGCTTTTTGTATAATAGAAAAGGGAAAAATATTTTTCACATGCAAGCCGAGAAAAAGTAAAAATTGGTAGTGTATGGTAAATAAGTGTTTTTTTTAAGCCAAAAGCTGAGAAGTGCTTTTTTTAAGCTGAGAATGTGAGGACTGTTAGTCATTAATGACGATTGATAAATGTGCACTTTTTTCCTTGATGAATTGCCCTTCAGAAAAAATTACTGTACAATAGATAATAGAGATACGTACCGTGACCCAGGATGAGAAAATAGAAAAAATGCTAAGGCTGTGTTTGCTATTGCGTTTGCAAAGCGCTTTTGGCTTTTTTTAATACAAAAAGCAGATAGGAGTGTTTGCATTTGCGTATAATGGCTTCTGTAGAAGTGCTTTTTACTCAAAAGCGGAAAGCAGATAAGAGATGCTTTTATCTGCTTTTGGGTATTATGATTGTAAATAAATGCAAAACAGAGGAAAGTTTTATCCAACTTTTCCACTTTCTACCGGTGCTACCCTCCGTTGTACTCCGTATTTATGATATCTTCAGCACGCATGTCTTCCCCACCTATGTCGCTCAAGCATCCCGACCAGAATAGCCCCAGCTTCATTCACGAAGGTCACTCCATCGGAAACACGCAACGCCGACGATGGGTGGCAACTTCAAAAGGTCCGCCGTGACATCGTCCAAGACTTTTCTTTAGGAAACCCATAAATCGGATTTCAATTTGAAAGAATATGGAAGAGCATCATAAATTAGGTGTAGTGGATTGAATTTTTCCAAATTAATGGAGTTGATTATTGAAGATTTCAGATCCTTTCACCAAAATGCTTATACTTTCCATCATGAGGCAGCAAAGTTGGAGCGATGAAGTCGTCGGAAATTTCTGAACTGCCATAGGTATAGAGAAATAATTACTAAGGGTATATTTGTAGTTTAACAAACTTTTTTACATTAAAATCACTTTTTTACCAAACACTTCAACTTTTACCTTTTAATTAAAATCACTTCTATTTACAAACACTACCCACTTTTACTACAAACTACTTTTCCAAAAATCTCTTAAATTAATCACTTCTAAAAAGCAGAAGCAAAGGCAAACACAGCCTAAGATTGCTAACTAGTTTTTTGTTACTTTATAGTTGAAGAGTTTGTTAGGATTTAATTAACGCAACACGAATAACAGTAAGAAAGAACACACGAAATTTAGTAACCTAGTTCGCCACAAAGAACTACGTCTGGGGTGCTACCAAGCTAGGAATTGCTATTAATTACGGATCAACTGATTATAAGGGAGAAAACTTGTATTTATAGAGAGTAAAACCGCCACAAAGCAACTAGGACACGCGGCCCATAACTGTACAAAACTTGCGGCTCTCCAAAAACGGACCCAAAATTTCGACATGACTTTTTGACAGATCGTGGCTTGATAACTGTACGGCCGATAACTGTACGGACCCAAAATCAAGCCATGTCGAAAGTCAACCAAAATTTAAAAGCCACGATCGGTCAAAAAGTCATTCACTCTCATTTAAATTGGAAGTTTCTCGTACTAAGATCAAGCAGCTCCTGTCTTAAAACATTGTACTCTGTAGTTTTGTATTTTGTGGTTAAAAATAAGGGATAATCACGGTGATTTTGTACGTGCAACATATTATCTCTTCCTAAGTACACTGACATGGACCATTTGTCCATTTCAAAGTTTTAAAGGTTGCAGCTTCGTGGGGGAGCTAGCTCAGGATTTAGCCGCCTAAAAGTTACGTTGATGTTACCATCCAAACCTTGTTAGATTGCATTAAAGATAATTTATATGGGAATGAAGAAGATGAGCATATTAAGGTCTGTTTACAATAACTGCTTTTAAAAAATGTTTTTTTTAATGAAATGGGGAGAAGTGATTAAATAAAAGTTGATAGTGTTTGAGAAAAAAGTGATTTTGAAAAGTAAAATAAGGTAGTGTTTGGTAAAATAAGTGTTTTTTGTGTAATAGAAAAAGTAAAAGCACTTTTGACGCGGAAGCCGAGAAAAATAAAAGTTGTAGTGTTTGGGAAAATAAGTGTTTTTTTAAAACCAAAAACTGAGAAGTGCTTTTTTAAAAGCAGTTGCAAACAGACCCTAAAAGGATCAAAAAGTGGCGTTTGATTCCTTATCAAATACTCCGTACGTACTACGTAGTAAATAAGGTTGCTTTATAGTGACCATATTTTAGATGTTCCAAACAAACATTTGATTGTTGGATTGTTGGAAGAAACTTGGGGTGGACGTATCGGTTTTCAGTTCGGTTTTTATCGGTTTCGATTCGGTTCGATTTGAAATGAATTGAACGAATTTATTACCAAAACCAATGATACTATTTTTCGGTTCGATTTAGTTCAGTTTGGTTTAATTTGGATTTGTTATTTTTAAGAGCATATGAAGATTTTGTTGAATTTTTGTAGTTCTGATCGATTTTGTTCTGTTTTTCTCGATTTCAGTTTGGTCCGATTTAATACGGTTTATAAGAAATACTACTAAATTTCAACCAAATTGTGAGCCCGTTTGGTAGCACCAAAATCGGCTGTTTTGGCTGATTCTGCTGAAATTTATGATATTCTGGCTGGAGTGGCTGTTTTGGCTGATTCTGCTGATTTAAGAAAAAAATATTTTAAAAATATATTTTATTAATAAATTAAAGAAAAAATTATATGTAAAAATAGCTAAAATGGTCCTCTACAGTAACTTCAGCCAATACAGCCAGAAAAGTAACTCCAACCTTACTTTTTCGGCTTATTACACAATTCAGCGCACGAAAGTAAAAGTTACGTGTTTGGTGAAAAAGCTGGCTGATAAGCCTGATAAGCCGAAAACAGAGTTCTCCAAACGGGCTCTGTATATGATCGGTTTCAATTCGATTTAGTTCAATTTGGTACAATTCAATTCGGTTAAACAAAACCGATACACCTACCCCTAGATGAAACAATGGGAATGGGAATTTGGAATGCAACATCAGGTTAAGCATGTGTTGTATAGGTAAAAGTTCACAAGGGTTAGGTCTCGGGTTCGAATCCCGACAACTGCGATGAGGGGTTACTATGCTGAAAAATGCATAGGGCTCCTGCAAGTACCGGAGACAGAGCCCCACTCTCTATCTGTCAGATTGTGATTATAGTCCAACTTACATCCTCCCATCGTGCCGTCCGGTCGGTGTTGGGGGGCCCTCAGGGATGGGGTGTCATCCTTTTTTTGTATAGGTAAAAGTTTAAGAGATACTACGGGAGTGTTTGTAACTGCTTCTGTTTAAAAAAAGCACTTTTGAAGATGTAAGAACAAAGTGATTAGTAAAAGTTGATAGTGTTTGAGAAAAAGAGATTTTGAAAAGTAAAAGTTGGTAGTGTTTGGTAAAATAAGTGATTTTTCTGTAATAGAAAAGGGAAAAACACTTTTCACACGCTAGCCGGGAAAAAATAAAAATTGATAGTGTTTGGTAAATAAGTGTTTTTTAAGCTAAAAAGTGAAATGTGCTTTTTTTAAGCGGTTACAAAGACTCCCGTCCAAATTGGAATAACGCATACGTAGAACTACATACTACGCAAATCTTTTATAAAAATAAAATATAACTACTCTCGAATCAATTTTATTTTATTTTATTATCTTAAAACCCACTCTCCCATTCACCGCGCGAAGTCGTTTTGCTGTTTTTTTTCAAAGTCTAATTAGTTTCACACTCCCCGCGCTCGAATTTAATCAATTCCTAAAATTGCTCTGGCGCAGGTTAGCTTATCCCGGCGGATTAATGGAAGCGGAACAGATCCACTGCAAATTTAGAAAAGATTTGAAAGAGGTAGCTTGAAAGCCACACTGCTTTTCAATGGTCGCCCCCAGGAAGAGAGTTCACGCGGTACACATTCGTCGTGGCCCTGATGGAAGTGCCTTCCAACAATGGTTTTTCTTCTTCCTTTTCCCCTTCATTTGGTCACTATGATTCCAATCGTGCTACTTAATCCACGAAATTCTAGTCGAGATTCATGATTTCCTATATGGCTGCATATTTGTGTGTGTGAATGTGTTGGTTATTTACTCATCTTTTTGCAGCGAAAGCTGTGGCCTTTCTGTAGCAATTGCTCTGGCTGATCTGCATGAATGCGGAGGTAAAAGGGATGCCACCAACAAGGCCAAAACTCAATGCCTGAGCAAAGAAAAAAAAGGGCTGAAGAGTAGAAATGGTGAAGAACTGAGGTTTCAAGATCAACCCAGATCAGCGTTTCGCTTATTTATGTACATCCCCGTCCTCTTTCACACGTTTATGCTGACAACGTGCTTGATATGATGCCTCTATATGACTAAAACTGAACCCTTTTATTTATTTGTTGGTAAAATTTGAGACACGTAGGGAGGAGTTTGAGAAGACATGTCATGATGAGAATGAGATTGATGTTGATAGGAGAGGATTTCAAACGTGGAGGAACATGTCAAAGATGGTACTATGAGCTATAATGGTGTTATTTTTCTCTGGTCTTATTAGCCAATTATCTTTAGGACTGTATACTTGTGTAATTTTGATTACTAACAGAGTTTTAATTGATCTTGGGTTTTAGGAGAGGAAACCCTATGAAGTTCGAGCGGCAAATATATGTTCAGCTTACTTAAAATGCTTAATCGAGGAGGAGAATAATATAATGCGGGTATAAATTCATATGCTTTGAAGTTTGATTTTTTACCAATAACCAATCAATGGTGGTTTCAAAAAGTTTATATGTTCCCATTTTTTCAAAAAGTTTCTATGAACGCCCCTGAATTAAAGGGGTCCACCACTGATTCCAACATTCAAACTTTTTCTCAAGTAAGCAATATAAATGTGCTCTTCTTCTCTTATTGATCAACCATTTTAGGTGAATGATGAAGCTGATTCAGCTGAGGTTCGGAATTATGACGAGGTTGATCTGCTTAATTCTTCCCACCGTTTCTAATTAATTCATGAATCTACTTAATTCATCCCAACTGTTTCTAAATAATTCATGAATATATGCACCTCTAACCCACACACAAATGCTGTTCATTATATATAGGATTCTGATGGGTTCTTGAGATATGATTCAGATGAAAGCAAGAGCCTCAGCTCCTACTTGAATTGGTAGTGGTTCATGCATGCATATCCTTAGATTTGTGTCCTTCCATACCTCTTGCTGCCTTGCATGAATATCAGTTCTTAAATTCTTAATATTTGTGAAACAGGAAATCGAAGCATGAGTGGTTGTTTCATTGAAAGCCCTGGTGATTCAGAGTATCATTCATTCATTGTTGAAGTTTTGACAGATATATGCATTAGAAGTAGTACTAAGTATAGAGATATTGGGGCATTAATCTTTGATGTTATCGAGAGGCTCAAGGTTCTTGGTTGCTTGTCGAATCTCTGTGACTCTCTTTCCTGTATATAAGCTGATGATTTTGATAAAAAGAATCTTCAGGACGCTTTTTGTTTACCCCAAGTTCCCAACCACACTGTTATCTCAATGGGGGATTGGAAGATATCTGTAATGATATGATTTTGAAATTTCCTTGTTAATTAATCATTTTCTTTAGAATGTTGAAACATAAAGGGGAACTTCAATTAGCTTCTTTGCATGAACTTATTGCATTCATGCAAAGAAGTTCATGATGTGTGAACTTCATGAACTTGCTGTTTTGCTAATTTATTTAATTTTTCATATTCTCATGAATTATGATGTTCATTAGTAGTTGAAATTAAATTTGGTTATAATAGTGTATACTTGGTCAGGATTATCTTTCTACTCATCTTTTGTCGTATCACAAAAGCTGGATTAATGCCTACATTTAAAAGAGCTCCCATTTCTCAAATTTCAGCCTTTCAGGTCGAACTAAACCGACATCGGTTGTTTTAAACAACTGAAATAGTGCCTATTTTTAGTGGTTCCAAACCAGTCAAAAAAAATGATCTCATACATGTTTGTTTTTTCTTAATTACCCCTACTTTTACACATTTTACAAAAAAAAACTATTGAAAAAGTTTACAACAATAATCTCAACTTATCAATTGTTTCACAAAAATAAACTGGCAATTAATGGTGCTAGCTTTTCCGTTATATTTTAAATTTAATGAAGCAAAAATGTACCTATCGGCTATTATATGATGGGAAAATAGCCACAAACGGTAACTATTAAATTACGGAGTTAATTTTCATTGGCTAAACTTCCTCAACTTGAATGAACCTTTGAGGATGCAAACAAATAGGGTGTTTGTTAAATTTCCCACACCTGAAAAAGTTTGGATAAACCAAATGATATATTAAGACTTGGGCTACTCCTATCAGGTTTATCTTTTAGGATGGAACCCCGTATGAAAAAAATGGACTGATGAAAAAAAATGAATGATGGCACAATCCAGACAAAAGTGTCTGGTCGTGAGGAAGAGTGTTAAATGTCCTACACCGAAAAAGTTTGGATAAATCAAATGCTATATTAACACATGGGCTACTCCTATCAAGTTAACCTTTTAGGATGGAACTCTATGTCTTAACAGTGTTCTTAGGATGTTTTTACTTGGACTGTAATTTGTCCCAGACCAGACCAGACCAGTCCAGACCAGTCCAGACCAGACCAGACCAGTTCAGACCAGACCAGACCAGACTTGGATAGTTATAAAAATACAAAGAAACCAGACCTTACCAGACCAGACCAGTTCAGACCAGACCAGATCAGACCAGACCAGACCAGACCAGCAAATTACAGTCCAAGTAAAAACATCCTTAATCCAATTAGAACACACACAATACCATTGGTATGCACCAACATGTTGAGCTAAAAACAGTAAGCACACACAACACAAAGACACCGAAATTTTAGGATGGAAAACCCATAAACTAGGGAAAAACCACTCGACCATAAGGGTTCGAAACCCACCAGGCACATAAGGGTTCGAAACTCAATGACATGAGTTTCAGCCCTGATTACTCCAAGCCCCCCAGACCCCCTGGAGTAAAAAAACGGAGGCATACAAAATCATCATATCCTTGGAAGTAAGCACATCAAGGTGTATGAAATCAAAATAGAGCCAAGATAAGAAATATATCACCAGAAAAATAGATACTGTCCAGACCAACGAAACTCGACCTCCGAACCTCAAAACCCGATCTCCACCATCCAAAAATCACGACAATCCAACGGTTCAATCTCCAGGAAACGGAACGTTTCTGTTGCTGCCTGCTGGAAAAACGGGATGAGCATTCAGCTCATGTTTTTTTACTTTTGTTCTCTCAATCCTTTGCTCTCTTTCTGTCCTTGTGTTTGATATAGTGGCTGACCCCTTTTTAATTAGAAGCTCCCAAAATAGAAAGTCCAAATAAGACTTTAATGGGCTCAATAGTTGGGCTTTCCTCATGGGTCAAAAACAAAAAGAAACCAACCGTATATAAGTATTAACAATTTCATATATGTACTTAAATTTATTTCTATTATAAATTACATAATACTCATTATTTTTATTAAACTACAGTAGAAATATTTAAATACATAGTCATCAAATTCTCTTTTATCACTTACCCTATGTATATTTTATTTATATTCATTTTTGTTTTTCATTACGATAGAGATTTCATAGTAACTTTAGTAATACTACATTAAATATTAATACAAAAAAATATGGTAATTATTTTTAACTTAGTCAAGTTTTATAAATTGATATTTATTATCATTTGAATGGATGACATACTAAATTAATATGGTTACATTCATATTTACTTTTATTTGAATATATGAAGTTTCATAAACATGAATATAACCATATTTCTCTATAATAATTTAGTATATCATATGTTCAACTTATAAGACATACTACCTCTGTCCCAGTGGACTTTGCCAAGTGCAAAGTAGGTGAGAAATAAGAATAGTAAAAATTGTGTGATTAAGATTTGTGCATAAGAGAAAGAAATGTGCAAAAGCACAAATTAGTAACTTTAATAGGAAAGTGACAAAGTTCTTTGGGACAATAAAAAAGGGAAAGTTGACAAAATTCAATGAGGAGGGAGTACTATTTATAAAATTGACTAAAACTAAAAATAATGGTCATATACTCTGAATTAATATTTAATGTAGTATTACTAAAAATTCTTTGAACTCTATTGAAATGAAAAATGGAAATGAATATAAATAAAATATTGATAGAGTAAAGATTAAAGAGAATTCGTTATTAAGATGGATGAGTGTACTCAAAATGTACACCAAAAAGTATAGACCTAGCACGGCTCGTCTAGCTTGATAAAAAACATTTAAACTCTTGCTTTGTAATATGTAAATTTTAAGTCACCATTATGTCGGGGAAGGACCATTGGTTCATTGCTAGCATCACTTAGAACAGCACCACAAACGACGGACAAAAAGTAGCACAACAATTTTGCATTTCATCAAACCTATATCATTCTTGGTTTTAGTTAAGCCATAAAGTTCAGATGAATTGGTGATGCATCATATCCTTATTTCCTTATTTATCTTAATGGGAAATGTTGAACAATGTCACGCTTGTCATTAGATTTTATCACATGAAACTTCATTAACCATTTGTTTTGATGTGAGAATTGAAGTAGCATTTAACTAGTTAATGTAGATGTAAAAACTGAGTAGCAATAAATTAAAAGGAATGTACTAAAAGCATATAAAGATAAACACAAACCATTGTTTACACAGCCCCCCTCCCCCCCCCCAGGGTTATAAATTACCACAGGAACCATGCTTTAACACTCATGGAAGCTCAAGTCTTGTTTATACACAAGACATGACAGATACACAACAAATTGCGCTTTTACACAAGTGCATTAAGCCTCTCTTTCCTGAGAGTCTCCAACTCATTAACCATTTGCCAATGCTCAATCGACAAGCTGCTTTCCCCAAAACTTAGAGATACTAAACGTGCCAATGTCAACAATCTGCGCGCCAACACTCTTTACTAAGCACCTTCCTCGCTTGCTCAATATATCATGAAACATAAGAAATGTAATACAAGTATTTATTAGCATGCAGCAACTGACCTGCTAAATTCTTGGCTGCCCATGCTTCGGTCAGCTTGCCTGGCAGCAACCAGATCGTCTTCCAACACCTGCAATAATAATAACCTTTTATATCTAGGAGTTGGATCTAGAGTTCATATCTTTTACAAGCGTTCTAAAGAAAATGTTAAGGATATATTTAGGATGATTTTGCTTGGACTGAAATTTGTTGGTTTGATTTGGTCTGTTTAAGTCTGGTTTGGTATGAACTGTGATCTGGTGGGGGATCTGTTTAAGTTTGGTCTAGTCTGATCTATTTATTTCTAGTCTGGTCTGATCTAGAACTGGAAACAGACCAAGTAAAAAATATCCTTAGTTGGATTTATGAGTTTGGGGTGAAAGTGTGGGTCATGATATTATTTGTTTTTTTAAATAAGAGATTTTATTTGGCTAATGAAGCATGTGATAGATAAATGACTAAAATATTGATGTTATACTGCTTCATCATTATATTACATCTTTTACTCCCTCCGTCCCATAAAATTCTTCACACCTACCATTTTTGGATATCTCAAAACATTCGTCACATTTCCCTTTTTGGAAAGTTTTGTGTGGCTAACATTCATTTACCTTTTTCTTACTTAAACACAACCATACATTTACACTTTATTCTCATTTTCTTAAACTTCGATCCAAGTCAAACTGGGAAGAATTTTATGCGAGGGGAGGAGTATTTCAAAACATCATTAAATTGAAAGTAACACGGAGTATTTTCTAAAACAGAAATTTACCTTCTGCATATCTGGGCTGATGCTGTGTGACAATAATCTCATTGTACTTAAATACCAACGCCAAGCATTAAGTGTACTTGCTTCGATGTCTTTATGGGGGGTTACTGAGCATGGACGGAAAGGCAAAACTATATCAGCTGGTAGTATGTTTGATTTTCCCTCTGATATAATTAGCAACTGGACGTCAGTGGGCATCTCCATTTTGTAATACGTGAAGTCATACTCGACCTACAAAAAGAACAAGTTAAGTTGAAGGGTCATTTAAAGACTTTTGATCCCCCAATGAACTTTCAAACTTTCCACATTAATGTACATCATTTATTTCTTACCACTTTCGGTCCTGGCCACTTAACCAGCAGGTAATTTTGGGTTAACTTAGACAGATGATTGACCGTAAAGAGACAAAGGTTCATTCATGTTTCCAAAAATATTTTTATAAATAAATTTTTATAAATAAATAAAAAGAGGCAAAGGTTTTCAGAATATCAGTTATGCACCCAAACAAAATCATAGTGGGAGACTAAATAAGTAATGTAATTATCTTAGAATCAGAAGCATTAAATATTTAATTAACTGGGATGTGCAATCCCACAAGAAACACATGAAAATCATGTTGGTAAAGAAAAGCATCATCATGTGAACCTTTTGCAAATCCAACAAGCTCTTCAGTAGCCTGGTATTGTTAATCCCAGTTGAGTTGAGGTTTCCAGGTTTTAATTGAGTCTCGTCAATTGTCACATGAGTGCCATCAGCCAATTGAAGAACTCCTGTAATCAATCTGCAGTATGTATCAGAGAATAAACATAAACATTT